TAAATATTGGATATCAGAAGCCCATCCTTTCTCGGTAAGATCATAGCATACATGTTGATTTAAATTGACAAATAATTCGTGTTTTCAATATCGAAGACTTTGGATGATATCGAGTTTAGAGACTTAGCTACTTTAAATAGGCCTTCGTTTAGCATTTGTGTGTTGTTCAATTCTTTTCAAGTGAATAGAATATTGCTCAAAGTCCACGTACTATTACACTAATTTGTCTTTTGTAATTATGGAATTTGAATATATTTTAACAATCGATTCTATGAAACTCCAATCCATTTTATATGCAGCAATATGATCTATTAGTGGATACGATACCATATAATATCATGAGTATGTGCATCGTTTGAAACAACATCCGGAATAAATAGCATCTCGTAAATAGAAGGATTAGTATTTTTATCTATAGACTAGGACAAACTAAGCCGCTTATTTTTCGTTCTATTGTTTAAACCACTTCGGCTTTGTTATGCCCTGTATTTTTGCTAAATAATTTATTGTTTGTTGTGATGGAAGAATTAAGTGTTTAAAATGAGACCTTTCGCATATGTAAGTTTACCCAATTTTACTGTACTGTAGTGAAGCATTACATCACAATAAACCAATTACATTTGAATTGAATGTCCGGGTTGCGGATTGATGCGTATATACTGCTTGAATTTGTCGGTCAAAATGTTTGTCGTGATTCGTGGTGCGCGAAAGTCGAAAGCAGACGACGAACAAAAACACCGAACAAATATGTTTGTTTTTCTTGTCCGCAGACGACGAACATGGTAACGCAGACGAACGAATGTTATAGATCGAAAAATAAGTCTAGAGCCACATAAAATCACCAAAGACGAGGAACAAGGTAACTCAGACAAGCGAATGTTTTAGCTCAAACAATATCTACCGCCCAATGACGTAACAAAAATCACATGATTTCAAAATGGCATACATATCAGTGTCATGTGATATGTATGTGATCGCTGATTGGTGCTGCGTGGAAAAAAATATTCTGCGAGCATTCACCTTCGACGCAGACGACGAACTGAGTTCCAAATATCTAACACGTTCGATTTCACGAACATTTTTTCGAAACATTTTTGTCCGGTTTTTTTTTACCCGTAGACGGCGAACAAATTGATCGGAACAATGTTTTCATGAATGTTCGGCTAAAATGTTCCGCTTAAGTTATTATCACCGATCCGTGTATTCTGCTGTAATTTCATGTGTGCCGATATCCGTCATATACGATAAATATCTCTGAGAAGTATCTATATTAGGTGTGTTTTATGGTTGGCTTTTCCCCTGCTACCCACTCATGGGTTGCTCGTTCACTGCCCTAGGAAGCAGTTAAGCAGAAAACACTACGCATCAAGCAATAGATGCACATGTAATTTATAATCACCCCAGCAACTTTGGTCTATGCGTATCATGCATTACTCACACCTTTGGGCTCCATTTATTTTTTTAAAAAAAACATAACTGTATCTGTTAATCAGATTTTCTGTTGTTCTAGAAATCTGAACAGAAATATCGAGTGATAAAATAACTCCTTCATATGAAAACGTTGCTGATTTACCCCGAGGGCCACTTGATTAGGGATGGGTTACAGCTGCCGTACTTTAAGCTGACCTGTGCAAACTCATTTGTATATGCCAACAGTGCCATAAAGGAATAACTTATCAATAAACAATTAGTTTATATGTTACCACTGAGGATCGTTGGGATTATTACTTGATAGCGAAGGCGATACAACCGTAAAGCGAATTACTTCTCTAAATTTCATTTCAATAATACACGCATGTGACTGTGTAAAGCAGACTACAGAAATGGCCTGCTTCATAAGCAAAAATACAAGCGATCAGTCAATCACGAAATTTAATGATGCACATTCCCGCACTTCCAGTCGTTCCAGGCTTTAGCGTGGAAAACGATTTAACATGGAGAATATAATCTAAGATATAAGACCAATGCCGGCTTTCGATGAACATGGCCCCAGACTATTTCACTTATATATGAGGTCCCTCCAAGCCCCCACCCTGACGACTGGGGGAAGATAAAGGTGTGTTTTAACCACAACTGAGCAATGCCGAGGATGATGACGGATGTTTAAGAGTAAAGTGTGTGTAAGGAAGTCTTATGGCAGTATTAAAACATTATACACTTTAGTCCAAGGTCCCCTAGATCTTGAGGCTCTAGGATTCAGCCTGCCAAGCCTATAGACACCTCGTTATCAGCACTTAACCCAGATTCCATGGGCGCTGCCATTGTTGATCACATGACCATTTCTCCCTGTGGTAAAATTGTGTGATAATCACGTTTTCGATATTTTGTTTACATGCTATATCTCTGTCTTCTTTAATATTTTACATTTAATTATTATTGGAAAGTGAAATAAAGTATAGAAAAGGTGTAAGTAGGTGTACAAATAATCGACACGCAAATTAAAAAGAATCGATTTGTGAAATGCACCAGAAATTACACAACGAATGTGCGTGTTGAAGTTCCAAGTCATGCCGTCTGACAATGTTAAAATAACTGTGGTGGATACTCGGGGCGATAACTGAAAAAGAGTCTCTGTTAGCAAATCCGCACTGTATAAGCCTGAATCGAACTCTTTCAAAATTCCATTTCAACATCTAAAGAATAAAATGTGGTTTCCAATACTTATATGTCGGTCAAGTCAAATTAGTACGCCACGGTACATAATTTTCCACTGCACTCAATCACTAGCCTAGTTTTATATAGATAGTTTATAGTTGTATTGATTGGTATATCTACTCATATCTACGTATTCATATTGTCCAGTAACAAATCATTTTATCCACTCCAATGCTTGAATACTTTAAGTGAGCTTTTCACTGATATACGATCCACTGATATGATAGATCACGCAATTATTTGCCTGTAGGTCAAAGGGAAATATTGGAATTAATCTACCTAATTTCTGGTTTCTATATACAATTTCACGTAAAGAAAATGGTCGGGTAAAACATCTACAATCATTTGTAATATATTTACTATGTGTTGTTATGTGTGCAATGAGGGTGTGGTGGGATTTCGTTATGATGGCGGGTTACTGATAACCTCATGAACGCCGATTTTTCGTTCCACGCAGAGGTAAAAGAAACATAGTGATATGAACGTTTGGAGTAGATACTATAAAACAGCAATCTGATTAAAATATTACGATGGCCTCTACTACATGAAGATCTGACCAGTTGTAGTGCGAAGTCGTGTCAGGGGGTCATACGAGCGGCTTTTGACCTTTTACGTCAGACATTTGATTAACTAATCAGCGTTGATATTTTTAGTAGGATACCCACAGTTCCGTGCATCACAGGCCAAGAACTTGCTGCAACAGGCCGCTTCCTTGGCTAATCCCTCACATCATCCAAAACGCGGGTCATATAACAACTCTTCCAGATCCTCGTGTAGTAAAGACAAGTAAAACGAAATTTTGAACTATAAAAAAAACGAAACGAAATAGGATTGTATCAAACAGATATGAACGATCATATTTATGCGGCCGCGGTTTACCATCGGTGAGGAAAATGGTGTCTCTACTTTTCTGTACCAAACGCGTTACTGAAGATGGGTACGGAGGTGCTATGAGAAAAATTTTGTTCGCAGAGTCTACTTGTATTTCAAAGGGTTCTTCTACATGCACACATATGTGTACATAGGACCTCGGTTTTTCGTTCCTTACTAGACCCTCTGTTCGACATCACTGATTGGGTTAATCGGGTATGTTGTTTCGACCCGGGATTAGGCGATCTCTATGCGATGAAAACTGTGTTTCTATAAGGTCCTTTAGACATTTTGGTCACATCTATTCAGGTTCTTTAGCGGGAGTGTGTTTGCTGTTTAATAATTTTAAAAATATTTTTAACTACCAGTGAAGATACACATGACTGTAAATAAAAAAAATACGTTCTTCATGATGGATAAAAACCACATCGCCACTATTGTTCATCATCGTCGTCCTGGATGGAGAGAATACGGCGGTCTCTTGATTTACACTGTTAATCTTACTTAAAACCTTGAAGCGGCGTTAATCCCAATTCTATGGTGTTCCATATTGTGATTAAATATTTATGAACTCGACAGTCACCACCCTAAATAGAAATACCATAGATTGGATAATGGCATCACTCTATTAGGGAGAACATATAATATTTTCATGTTGCCTAAAACGTTCTAGGCTAACACCGGACATCTTGGTCAGCAAATCAACGTCTTACGCACTGAGCCACCGCAGTTCCCTGTTCTGAAAGGAATAGACGTTTGAATCAAAAATACACGCATACAATCATATCACTTCCTCTTTTGTTGACTGTTCAATCAAGTTAGTCATAACTTTTGAAATCGTGTAGCCCCTTTTCATAAAACTATTTCATTGTTTTCTTTCTTGTCAAATGTGAGTAATTGTCAGTGTAACGTAGTCATAACAAAGTCATAATTCGGTCACATGTGACAAGTGTCAATTGAAATGAAACTGAGTAATAAGTAATTACTGGTTAGATTCACAATCAGAAAATTAAAAAAATATACGAAGGAAGTTGTCAATCCAACGTGACATCTTTCTAAACACACAGTACAGCATTCAGATTGTTTTTGCAGGGAATTATGGATTGCATATCTTTCTCTATTTTTGACTTGATTCATCGGACGAATTTCTCTCGAAATCCAGCCAAATTATAGCCCGTTCACGGTTGTCACGCAGTATATGTTAACTGAATAATGTTGAAGTATCTATTGTATAATTCCATAAAAAAAATACCTACAGGCCTATAATATGTCGTAATCTATTGCGCAGTAGGACTGAATTGATCGTTGTGTAGGGTGTCTCGAGTGTCCGTATGATTCTTGTTTGTCTTTCCCGCTATGGCCCTCCTCTCAAAACTCGAGCCATTCGCGTACCCTATGCCCACCACCATTTAATTTTGGACAAGGGGACTTTTCTATTACAGATAAAATTTTCAACATTAAAACACAAACCCACATTATTTTAATATATTTTAATATAAAGAACACACTCTGTGTAACACAATATTACAAAATTCAACTTACAAACAGATGGGGACATTTCTATTTTAACTAAAAATCAACTAAGGGCCTTATTTAACATTAAAAGTCCCGCACTTAATCCAATATAGCGACCACACGAAACGCTCCATGCGCCATATTAGGGAGCCACTTGTGTTCTTTTAACCTTTTAAGTAAAAAAAAAACCCCTATTACTCAAAAATTTAAAAAGCACTTTTTGAATGTCTATTTATCATAAGTTATTAATAATATATTAGTTTGCTGTTTTACAAATGTTTATCACACAAATATTAAAGATGAGCACTATCTGATGTATTGTGTAATGTCGTAGACTTGCTACATGTATATACAGTTGATAGTTCAGATCATAGTCCACTTTATAACGTTCACACACGACATAACACAATGATACATGTATATATTTATGAAAACAAATGACAAGTAGCTTTGTTGCTGCTGCAGTGCCTTCTGCTATTGTTTCCTTAAAAGACACCTTGTCTCCTAAAATCCAATGAAAATGTCCCATAAAAATCAACACCACACATCACATTTCTATAGGACCACCTAAAGTCAATTTACGACAACTGTCACATCCATTTAATCGCGATTCTTGAAGTTTCTTAGCAACAGCTTCCGCTATAAGCACTGCTGGTCCAAGTTTCAAACCGAGGCTTTTCATCATGTGATCTGTTGTAAGTAATGGCAGGATTTTACCATCAACTCTTTGTTCTCGGAATGTCTGAAAAATAATTAAAAAGATAAGAGGTAATTAATCAGGCTGACACCATTTCACACTTCAACCGATTTATCAGTGGAAAAAAACTACACGAACTCATAGTTCGTAAATAATTCGCATTCACTATGCATTCATTTGATTTCATCCCGATAGCCGGGTTTCATAATCAATTAAATGATTAACACTATACAATATTAACTGGCAGTTGTTAAATCATTGTGGGTTATATTACATTACTTAATATTTCTGAAAATTTTATTTGAAAGAATGTTGCTGGAAATCGGCATATAAAATAATTTGCTCGTTGAAATTCTTGTTTAGATTGCAACCACCCACTTTAACTCCTCTCTGAATATTGATCAACTGAGTATTTTCGTTTCGTTTTTCACAAATATTGAAACTTGAGAATCAACAATATGATCCAGACAAATGTTTTAGTAATGATATTAAAGGTATAAATCATACTCGAACGCAGACATAGAGGACACGGAATAAATTCTGAGACACGTATGGTGATTGATTAGATTCTACATGTAAATGCTAACATGGGAATATCCTTGCGGATCGCTGATGGTTCTTAAGTGTGGTCTGGATTATGTTTGGAATTCATTAGCGATGATAACCATGTATCCTTATCTATCAGTAAAAATAATATGTTTACAATGTAAAACTTACCTCAGCGTATAAAGTACATCCGTCGAGTCTGGAAACAAAACTACAAACATCCTCCACTGACCAACTTCTTATATCATCAGGTCGATTAACACAGGTACACTGGTAACTAGGTTTACCCATATATGGATGTAAATAACCAGGAATGTCTTTAGCACTATTCATACTTTCTTCCAGTCGTTTACGGCGGTAATCCTCACTTTGTAACAAGGCCGAATCATAATACAGAGGTGGATACGTCGTTGAACAAGACGGATAGGAATCAAACCGAAAGTCGGGTACCTGGTAGTCCAGACGAAGCCTTTTATTAGCAATATCTGAAGAGGAGTCTAATTCTGCGTGGTGTCGTTTCAGACCATTAATACTAGAACACGGATAGGACATGGAAGTTGGAATAGGCATATACTGGAACGGTCTTGGAAGTTCCATCACAGGTGCTGATAAAGCGTAAGGCAGTCTCTGAGAAAACATGTGTAAGGGCGAGAAACAGGGTGCTCCAATACTAGATGGTAACGCTCCAGCTGTAGTTGGGTATAACACAGGGTCTTTCTGATATAGTCCTGGGTGTGGGGGGACAGGGTTGTACATAGCACAACCGTGATAAGGATGAAGAACATGATTAAAAGATGGATCACTGGTTCGTAAAGAGTACATTGTATCAAGCTGCTGTGGAACTTGAGGACTGAAAAATAACATTGAGAAAACCCATTATACAACAGTACAACCAAATCCAATATCCAATGGACTGCAAAACAGTTATGAGAACTTCTAGTTCAAATATTCGACAGTACTACCGACAGCTGCATGCCATCCACTGATTCGATATCCCATTTAATAAATACCATTTAACTTCAATTTACATACCCAAATCTTTAACTGCTAGATTAACCCAAGATCCCACATGAGAAAACCGAAACCACAAATGAATACACTTACAATAAAGGATGTCCCCCAGTTAACATTCTCATGTAGTCTGCGTAAGCCGCTGTATCTGGAAATGTCTCTGGAAGCCGGAAAGTCGGAACCTCGCTACCAAGCCTTGGACCTAATCCAGTGAAAGATTTAGGTGTCATCTTTTCGTGTTCTCTTTCGGGTAGCTTTCTGGCATGATCCTCCGGAGAAGAACGTGAAGATTCCCTTGGCTTTGGAGACTCAAAACTTGACGTTTTAGGATTTTCAATTTTAGGATGTTTTGTTTCTTTTGGCATTTCCTTTGGCCGTTCTTTAATGTTTGTGTCTTTTGGAGGTTTATCATCTTTGATGTAATTTTCTTTACAAACATCTGGGGTGGATTTGATCACAGGTGTGGATGATGGCTGCTTAGCTGTTTCCTCCGCTTTACAATTTTCAGCTGACAATTTGACAGGTGTGGGCTGAACCATTGGAATGATTTCTGATTTAACTGAAATATATGATAATTGTATTAAAATATACATTTATAATCTATATTACATGTTGAAATGACGTCATCACAATAAATAACAGAAATTGACAGAAATGAGATGCAGTTTTTGACATTTGGATAGAAGTTTATTGGAATATTAACAATGCTCCTAAAAAATTTTATTGACAAACTTTAAATAATTGACATATAGATTTCTTTAAGCACACATATCTTTAAGCAGAAATGTCACTAACCTGCTGTTTCATTGTGCCTTTGATTAGGTTCGGAAACGGTAGGCTCTATAACTTTACTGACTGGGTCCCGAGGTTCTGGCTTCACTGGTGATAGGACGGGTACTTTAGGGACTGGAAACACACCAGGAACAATATTACAGGGCATGACAATGGGTACTTTAGGTAGACGCTCTTGGGTAATGGGCACGGTGGGTAGAACTGCTGGATTCATAATATTGGTCGATTTAGATTCCCGCAATGGACTGGAAAATAGAACAGATCAAATAAATAAAAATAGGCCAACAGACAATGAAACATATGCACATGACAGCTAAGCTGTCCAGTAGTCCATAAAGGTTGTTGCATTGTGAATGTTTAGGAAATAGAAAGCCAAACTTTGTTATCTGTGCGTTGACGGGGTTCTACGACACAATAAAGTGTACTAACAGTATAGGTATATTCACCAGACACTGTTGTAATTGGTCTTCATAACAATAATGGACGTATAAAAACATCGAATGTGTTTCATTCTATCTTACCTAACGGGTTTCTCTAAAGGTTTCTTTATCTTTTTGGCTTCCTTCTTTGTCTTTTCGCCCTCTGATGTTGACAGAGGAGCAATGGGCTTACTACCATCTTGAGAAATGGGTTTGACACCGTCTGTTGTTATTTTGGGTTTACTTTCTTTATTAGCGGGCGTTTTCTTTTTAGTTCCATTTCTGTTACGATTCTGAAATGTAGCAAAAATATTCCAAATGTTCAATTCGAGTTATTTTAAATAGGATGATAACAACATTTTAATATTAAATATGTGCAATCTATGCTTAAAACAAAGAGTACTAGATATAACTTGGGCGCGTCCGGTATTTCAAATGTGCTTGTGGTGAACAAGGATATCGTTTTTATTAACACTATAATGTTATTAGTTGATCTCTATTTCTCTCTACACTTTTCATTACTCTAATTCCATCATTTATTTTGAGTTGTTAGGGCGTATCAGTTTGAGTCAGCTAGGCGGAAGAGTACAGGTCGGCTGTTTTCCGCCGATACGACAGCGAAGATTGATCAAGCCGAGCATTGACCAGATTTCTTCCAACTGAACGAACAAAACCTGGTTCGGATTTTCTGCCGCACGGGGGTATTATCAATTACCAATAAACAAGGCGTATAAAAGGAAAGGTCGCCATGGAATCGTTTTCTTTAGATGACCCCTTTGAAGAAAAGGTCAGGGCGCATGACAATTCAATTTGCTAGATGTGACATCAATTACGTCTGGCTTCTAAAATATCGTTTCATCGGAAATGTACAGCACGGAAATCCCCCAGTTAATATGTAGTCTATAACGTTGAGTAATCACGTTTGTAATAAATAGTCACAGGTTTAAATATAGTTGTATGTATAACTGAAATGGCAAAACCAAATGCCCAAATGTTGTAAACGAATATCTGCCACAACGAGCAAATAACAAATTTATTTCCCATAGGCTCTGGTTTTTTTTGGTTTTTTTTACGGCGACTCGTATTTTATATACCAACAGTATGGTCTAGTAGTTCTAATGTTATTATACTTATCATCCAATAAAGGACGATTATATCATCTATATGAAGCATTTATTGTTCTTTTCTTTTAAGACTTTATAACCCTGGGCTTTTTTCCCTTGCTTTAATTTAACGGTTTGTCTCGAGACGCGCGCTAGCGGAAATATGACCAGTACATCCGCGGGCTATATCCTGTATGAAAATTACGCTTTGGTTATAGCCATTACAATTTCCTCTCCAAAATTGCCGTGCATTATGTTTTAGGTTCGTACTTTAATAACAGGCCGCGTCAGTCGAGTATAAATTGCTCCTCTTTCTTCTGGCTAGAAAATTCCAATTTATGACTCGGGGTATTGTTGTATTCCAATTCTAACGAAGTAAATCTCATTTTCCGTCGTCGATTGGTACTTTAGGTGGAGATTAATAATGCACAAGCCGTGACAGCCACGTACATCTAATCACGCGAAATTGTTAATGAAGGCACGTCGATTAATGCATTCCCAGAGGGCAGTTGCACGCCACGCTAAAGCGATTAAAGAGTGTTGCGCAGTGCTATTGCATTGAGGCGCAAATTTCCGTGGAGAATTGACGCCTATATCGACAGTTTCTCTTGTCATTTTTACCCCCGAGAGCTTGCATAGTTTCTTCGATTACCACTTAGAGTTTGCAATTTTCACAGCGACCTCTCCAAGGCCTTTTAGGCTGTCGGCGGATAGTGAAGTAATTAATTTTTCAGAGGGCTTTTCGTCGAGAACCATCGTATTTCAAGCAGACTCATACTGCGAACGCCAATGGTACGTATACAAACAATATCACGTGACCGGATTTCTGCCCTTTTCTTTCTAACACGTTCCAAATGAACGACTCGTATTTCAACTCTTAACATGGGCTCTTCAACTCTGCTTGGTAATTCAGTTAGGCATGTATTAGGCGTCCCGTTGTCCTTTTCTTCTTGGAGAAGGTTAACCAGCCATGCGATAAAGACCCGTGTTGGTAGAAAATTACTTGGAAAGAAGAAAACGTTAAGATCTACAAACTATATAATATGAAATTCGAAAACGGGTATATACTATATAAAATATGACGCCCAATATGTTTCTTTAACTTAAAAAAAGCAGTAGTCTAAATAAAGTCTATATTATTTCACATTAAAAACGAAAAACGAAACATTTATAAGTTGCCGAGAATTATGTCATTCGTATATTTTTTTTTTTTTTTTTAAAACTGGATATGACAATAAATAGTTATTTATAATCAAGTTTATAATTTTAAGTAGAAAACGTGCAAAGATTTCACATAAATAACGAATCGTGCGTGATTAAGAGTGTGATGAACATCGCCTATCCAACATGAAAAGAAGTAGACGTTATTTTTCTCGCTAAAAACATTGTTAAACTATAAGCGGAAATTGCACACAGGCCGATATATCATGAAAGAATTATTAGAGGACGGCATTTTCAGTCGACAAGCTCACTTAATAACCCCACATTTTATACTTAGGTGACAAACAGTCTAAAATAAGGTTGAATTTATGAAAAGAGCACGCTTCGCCGCTCTACCGAGTGAAAAATAAATTTCTTTGTGAACCGTCGGTGGATCAAGTATATGAATCGATTCTCAAACGGCGTGTTGGAATTGATTGCCGTGAAGCGGTATAACTTGAGGCGCCCGTCTCGCCAGATAATAACACTCCGCGCGACTAACTACGGCTTCTAATAACCCGCGGCTCTTCCGTAATTACCGCCGAGCTATCGCATTCTCCGTAGTTTGCCGGCATTTATCTAGCACGAATTGGACAGCTCGCTCAGGGCATTGCGGCAATGGGGATTAAAAGAATTATTTATAACTGTACGGTTGGTTATAAAAGTATTGGCTTTTTACTCCGCACATTTTAACCTTTAACTAGCGTAAATGATATTTATGATATCGTGAATTGGGGTTCGTCAATTGCGAAGTTACATTAAATCATTTTATCGTGAAGAGATAGGGGATGGTATTAAAGCTAGAACTTTGAAGTCGGAAATTGTATCGTACGTGAGGCCGCGTGAAGAAGGTCATCGTGGAATATGAATACAATAAAGGGGCCACTTGGTGTGAGAAGTAGTATTATGATAGAGGAGACAGTCGGGTAATGATTACCTCGTTCATCTTCTCTATCAGTATGCAAGTGAAACTGGCGTCGCAATTACTGTCGGCTACTGACGCATGGCTGTCTTTATTTATCTAATCGTAATCTTGCCTTCACACACGGTCGAAACCTGGCCACGGATGGCGGCACACGAGGGAGTATTGGCAAGCCTCTCGACTGTCAATCAATGCTAACGACGCGAGAATACTTCGCCCTCACACGCTCGAAACCCACTTGCGTAAACAAAACCCCGAGCAATTGATTGCATATCAATAGGCGCTAGTTGGATCTGGGCGTGTATTGTACGATGTGTGGACAGAAAGCAAACTTTACCCGTAGTGTGTTCTGTTAAGACCCAAGCCTTCCGCTAAGAACTTCAAGTTCTATTGACAAATTCAGCGTCAATCGAAATCCGTGCTTCGCGTCTTCTCATGTTCCGAAGCCGAGCAACTGAGTTAACATTCCGCTCTAAAGACCATAAATACAAAATCCTCGGCCGGAAAAATCTCCCAAGCGACAAATCTCACACAAACTAAGACGATGAAAACAACTTCAATCTTGGTCTGTATTTTTCTCAAGTCTACGAAAACCCGGATGTAACTGATGACATTTAGAAAGTTACTTCTAGAAATCCAGTGGTCTTATTTTCTTACATTTGCCATTTGGATTTTTCGTACAATAGACTGTTTAGCATCTTTTGTAAAATATAAGGGCTTGGAGAATGCACTGATTTTTTTGTATAGCAATTGCAAATAAAAGCGATAATATCTATAAGGTCCTTCACCTGAGAGAATAGTAGAATTTTTTTCTAAATTAAATATGCCCCTCTGATCAAGATAATTGCTCTCGAAAAAATATTGGTTTCTGAATTGTCCGCTTTTGCAATTTCATAAAAGGGGCTTCATCCTGCCTATTTATCCAGCAGAAAAAATAAGTCTAGCGAATGTTCGATCTAAATAGCGATAACTAAAAATTAAAAAAAAAAATTAAATAAAGACCAGCATTCATGAACACTGAGCTCGACGGGTAAACCCAATCACCATCTTACTTAGAGGATGCTTCTCCTCGCCCAACTCTGACATCAATAAGCGACGGAAAATCTAGAGAATCAATCTGATATTTTGTACAATGGAATAATTACCAAGACATATAGTGATTTTCAATATATCGATTAATCGATTAGGATTGTTAGTACACGTGTCTATTCTACCACGCTTCTTACAATTGTTACTGGATTTGTTCAAGATAATAAACTAATTATTTTCACATCTAACAAGTAGGAAATAGTAATTTTATTGCTATGTAGTTTGGTGTATTTTATCAAAGAAAACTAAAGGAGTAACAATTTTTGTATCAGACATTCTGTTTATATAATGAGTGAATGAAATGGAGTTTAACGTTCTAGTTTTCTGCTCCAATGGGGCTAATGAAGACGGTCTGTTGAAATATCAATGATATTAATTTATTATACGACCAATTCATATATGTGCGATTTTTCTCCAAGCATATCGATTTATTACTTCGAATGCAAGTACACCCAAACTATCGCTTACTCAAATTGAGCTTTTACACCAGAAAAAAAAAACCGAAAAAAAACCCCGATCTCTTCCATGTGGTATTCAATTACACGGGCCACTTCAATAAATGATGAATTCCTAAGTTGATACATATCCGTTCGTTACATTTAAATTATATTTGGTCTAGGTATATATGGTGGGTCACGGGTATTTAAGCACGACCGAATCTGGAAAATGAATTAGCGTACACAGGATGATTTACTAGAGCGATGAGGTGAAATGGCCACTTTAAACGTCATTACTGGTAAGCTAGGTAATTATGTTAACACAATGGTCTTTTCATACCTCATACGAATACGGTATAATTACATCAAGGCACGAAATAATTCACGTTACCAAACAAAAGCTACCCAAAAATGTGTATTCGCAGAAGTTTTGTCTGGGTGTAGAAAGGGGGATGGGGTGTAATATTAATTATATATGGAAAAAAATAACTAATAGCCTAATAATAACCATGCAAAATATTGCAAGGCGCACATACAAAACAAAATTATACTAATTATAGCCTCACAAGTTTTGCTTTGATGCAGTTTTAAAACGTAAATATTCAGAAAATGGAGGTTTATAATATAAATTATATATTGATAACTTCTTCCTCAATACATTTATTTATTTCTTAAGGCGCATACGTCATACAACATGAAACCGTCACGTATCATTCAAATTTGCATCATGTTCTTACACAAATCGCGTTGATATTTATTATCAAGCGGGAAATCCGCTGCCGATGTCGTCACCAACAACCATGTTTGAAGTGTATAAATATTTCATGATTACCAACGCGGACTTCGAAAATACGTGTAGTATGTTTACATTAGACACATATCGGTAGTTTTGTTCAGTAAAGATTGGTTTTGTAATATTTTCATTACTTACAGGTCTAACGCGTGTAGTAAACTAGTAAACGCATACTGGGCAGAAGCTGAGCATTTAGTTATTCATGCCTTGTGTGTGGTTAACCAGTGCAGTTTTGTGGAAGAGAAATTTATGACGGCAGTCGGCGGTTGTATAGTTATTTCGTCTCCGTTTATTGAGCACAGATAAACAATTGCATATCATCAAAAGGTATTGATAGGCTGTCGCGCCTATTTTATAGACGCAATTACCTACGTATTATTATGAATAATAAATTCGCTGTGAATAAAAAATATACAAACTCAACACGCGAAGTGTTAAGGGGCATATATTATTGTCTGCCTGTACACGGCAGTTAAATTCTTTCAACTGTATACAACTCCATGGCTTTGTATTGAAACTAAACAATATAATTACTAAGCTAGCAACTAAACCAGCTGTCATATTGCACGTTTTGAAAATCGACGGAAATAAATATAGGAATATATAATGATGCTATATGACTTACCAGGGTTGAACCAGTACGACACCCTTCACAATCACAAACAGTCGGGTGAACGGATAATATTCCTTTGGCCAGTAATAATTTTAAACTTTTCCCATGATGACGAATAGATCGTTTCCAGTCTTTAGCAGTTTCTCGCCCAGAAACAAACTGAAACTCATTGGGCGCTAACCACGATCCTTGAAAATATATACAAGGTCCTTTACTTCCCTGACAAAGTTTAGATAAATATAACAATGCCTTATTTTGTCCACATTCAACTTCTAAGATAACTTCACCGTCTTTTATTATGGGTTTAATATATTCCTCGGCATCCTCTGCCATCGTCGGTTGAGGCGGTGTAGTAACTGTTCCCAAAACTGTAGACTTCTCGTCAGCTACACTGCTGCAGTTCACACTAGTTTCCGTTATTCCGTCATCGCTGTTAGTACTCCGTACATCTTTTTCTTGCGGGTGGTCCCCTTTCTTTTCCGAGCTCTCGTCCGTCACTCGCTTGCCCATGTCTGTTCTTGGCAATATTTCTCTGTACAACTAACAAAACCACGCCTCTTTAAAATCACAAACAGTTTTGCGCAACAGAGTCAAAGCCTGAACGTACATCTATAGTATGACGGGGGCGAATAAAACTCACTCATTGACACATCCGGTGAAAGCACGTTGTAGTATTTCTATAGCGGTTGCACGCGTTCGGCTTGTCAATGCGGCATACATACGTCGACTAACTATAGCTGTTAGAGGGGCTATTAGACACTAGCTCGCCACAGCTTGGATTTATACTGATAGGCGGTGATTAAAGCAGAGACAAAACTATGAAGCGGGATCGTCCGAGCGGCAAGATCGTGGCGTGAACAGCTATACACAGATCAATCGATACTTATAATTCCGCCGTGGCCCGCCCTTATCATACTTCACGTAGCTTAGGGCTCGTCACGGAAACACTAATTCCACACGGCTGAAGTTCAATACTTATCGCCGATAAAGAAAATATTCGAGCTGAGCGTGTTATGCACGACTTACACTGAAACTTAATACGGTAGTAATCGGCAAAAGCCGGGAGATTGTAATGAACTGGTTGCGTGCCTGTCTCGTCTTACCACTTGTGCGGAACTGTGGTGAAATGAGTTGAAATACGCCAAGCTACTTGAGGACTTGGGGTTTAGGAGAATAGTGTCTAAAACTGGGTAATAAACAACAAGCCAACACGGCAGTAAAGTAACGCACACTGTCCCGCAATCTTCATTATATTCTTTCTCGTTAATCGAGAATGGCCCGTCGCTCATTGACAGTCGGGAGTAAAGGTTACTTAACGTGGCGATCGACTTCCCTCGGGCGGTATCGCTTTGTTAGGTCTGCTATTTTCCGCTTGCATGAGATCAATATTGAGAGAGGTCGCGCTCCAATCATCTAAAAGACGCCGACCTCGAAAAATTCTTTAGAAAGAAGACACGTTTACAAGCGAGACGTATCTCCGGCACTTTGAATTAACGTGAGACGCCTTATTGAAGAGTTTGTCATTTGGCGAGAATATAAAACATTTTTACGTGATCTAGCAATCTTTCGTGGCGAGTATCCCTGACAAACTTCAACACTCCCTCTTGTGTTATCTAGATTAGAGTTAGCAGTAATACGTGAGGCGAGCCTGGTTTCAAGCGATAATGCGTTTTGTTTCTATCTCCTAACATGCCGCGAGCGCCGTTGCGAGGGGAATTAAAAGGGCGATTTAGTGAGGTTTACTGCTATGAAAGAGGGTTTCTACATTATCCTAAACACTCGTCTGATATGAAATGCCCCACTTGAAATTCTAGGTAACTAGCGACCATGGGGGTTGTAAAAGTTTGAAAGAGGTCTCCAACTGTATGAAATAGTTCATTTGAAAAGTTTTATCACCGATATTAAAATTGTTAGGTAGAAAATGTGAACTAAAGCCCATAACAGTGGTTTTATTGATAACCGAGTGTTAATGACAGATTATGGCAGATAAAACCAAGGGAACGCCTCGGATTGACTCACTTTGTTTACAATCACTACGTGTTGTTAGATTTATGCGAAGGATGTTTGCCATGCAGTCGACTTAATACTGACGAGATAGATGATAAAAATTGTCACAAAATATCCCACACATGTGTGGACTTTGAAAAATATCGTGTCAAATATATTGACGATATATATACGATATTATCTACACAGACCTAACAACTGTACAGCCTTCATAATAATCTCCATATGGCAATTATCGCCTAGGATTATTTATGTTCCACGGCTGTTGGGATTCAAAGTTCGACCGACCCGGTCTCGGCGTGCGAGTCGCATGGTTCGTATACCACGTGCAGAAATCAAATACTTTTGACGAAAATACATGAACACATAAATCAGTTTCTGCTGTGGAAAAACAGAACATTTGAAAAGCAGCAGGCGCAAGCCGTCAGAAATTCAAGTCATACTGTTATCAACATCGGTGTACGGTTAAACTCAAGACGTACTTTATTATGTGCTAAATATCACGATCCGCATTGTGGTTTGCTTGAAATTTTTCAAGTCAACAATTTCCGTCAAGTAATTTGAAGATTTATTTGAGTAAATAATGAACACCACATTCTCGACGTTGAATTTAAGCAAGTCAAGTTCAGCAGAGTGTAAAACAAAATTATTAACTTTCAAATTTCGTTGGGAGAGAAATAAAATAAAATGGGGTTTAATATCCTACTGTTCTGTCCCGGTTGGGCTAATGAAGACGGGTATTTTCCGGGCAGTGGCGCTATTGACTCCTCTTATATCGAATGTCAACTGCCAAGGGATCTTTTCAAGCACACCAATGTGTACAACGGACCTCGGTTTCTTTTGTCCCACCCGAACAACCCCCGGTAGCTACCCTTTTCAGGCCATCCGTCCTGCACCACTGAAATTCCCGATGAACTTCCTCGGCCAACACCGGGAGCGACCCCGCGACCTTAATGGCGTAAACCAAGCATACTGTTATTAATGTTCAGTGTGACTTTCAGGACTAACACATGGTTTAATTATATTTCAATAAATCAATTACGCCTAGGGGTCTTTAGCAGTGGGAGCAAGATTTATGTTTTATTTTTCAAAAACAGTGATCAGTGACTTGTTTACAACGACATGGTTCTTCCATGTTTCCTACCAAAAATCCCTCCCACTGATGATTGTATGAGGTCAGTAACAACGAAAATAATCTAATATATTCCAGTTGTTGATTATCTTGGGTTTTTTTATTGATGTTTTGTTTTTTATTGGAGGGGACAGGAGGTAGTATATTATCTTCAGCCCCGTGGACAATACAGAGGCAGTCAGACAAGCAAATCGGTGGACGGACAGGCAGACGGGGTTGTAACTATATATACTCATGTAAAATGAATGTGATGACGTTGACGAAGGCGGGTGACATAATAAAATATAAAGATCATCCCTATTATTGTTAAGTTAGAAAATTAACAAACTGGCGACCAATCGCACCTTAATACGTTTAGGAAGTGCTTTAAATAAAAATAAGATAAAAATGCGAATATATTAATATATACGACAAAAATTGTGGGAGATTTACCATTACATAATAAAAGAACACGTTATATATAGTATACGACAAACACATCCTCATTAACTGCGATAATTTTCAACTCCGTGACTACACAATCTTGTGTTATAAGATCTTGCGTATTAATACCAAACCACGCAATGACTGAGAAATGCACTAATTTGACAGAATGTTAAATTCACCCAAGTCCTATTGCACGGGCATACGTGATGAAACGAACACTCCCGAAAATCATACATAACAATCGGACAAAGCGGCGATATATACTGGCTAATCTTGTAACAAACATCAAAAAGAAATTGACAATGATCGACTCAAGATTTGGAAGTTAGTGTTGATCAGGTTTGAAATGTTACTAAGGAACAAACATATATATAGTTCTAAATAGAGATTTTACTTACGAGTGAAGTATTTAAGTGATTTTTATTTACAAATTTACCGACAAAGAAACAATCAAATGCCACAGTATACATTTAAAGGGCACTTGAAATAAATTTCATGTCATTCGGGCAACTTGCGCGGGCATTATGTATTGGTATAGGTATATAAACATTCGAGGATCCAAATGAAAGGGTTGGAGAATTTCTAAAGATCATAAAAAGGGAGCTAAATTGCGTTGCTGTTGGCGTTTAAGCTGAATTTTATTATGGCCGAGGTGTTGTTAGTGCGTGGTAATAAACGATTTATATTCTATAGCCTAATCCCCTGATTAATCGTGGACGAGTCTTTCATCTTCTGATTAACACAAAACACGGTTAATTGACGACGTGGAGGTAACAAAACTCCCGTTTCAATATCGGTGCCACAAAGGACAAAATACGTCCAGTTATCAGGTGTAGTTTGAAACAAAATTCATGACTAGCAAATACCGCTGTGCCTCGGTAAAGCTGTCTATAATGGTTAGTTTCCACTATATTCTCTTCTTCCTTGTTTTGTAGGTTATCCGTAGCGCCGCTGCCCGGGCAAAATTTCCCTCATAGCACACTGTATGGCGTATGCCCGTCTTCATTAGCCCAGGTTAGGAGCAGAACAGTAGGACGTTAAACCCCATTTCATTTCATTTCTTGTAGGTTATTGCTGCGCTTGACTAATTGCAAGTTTAAAAATGGACCGGAAACTAGATTTTATCAGGTCACTCAATGAAAACTGGATGCAAGCTATGTGATCTTAAAATGTCTCGTTGGTATTTCATATGCAATCGGCGCATTGTTTCGATTTAAAATACATCCGGTCAAAACAGTTCCTTCCTAATATTTCAGCACACGTATTTGAAAATGACTTTGTTCGGATCAACTATTAATTAAAAGCCGTGAGCACTGAATAAAGAAGTTTGTCAAGACATTGACGCGCCACTCTTCAGAGCTAAATGGATTATGACCAAAAGCAATGGCCGTCTACTGACCCCAACAATATCGTGCATCGGTTGCGAAACAGGCAGCTTGAAGTTGATGATATTACTTTTGAGATCTGTAAATTTGGGGGTGAATTCAACTGAGATTATAGATCTTGGCTATTGATTTTGTTTCAGGGGATCCTGTAATTTCATCAAATGCGAGAAACTTTTACACAACTGACCAGTAAGAACCGCAGAATTGGTCAGTAACATAAAATCAATTATGGTAGGCTACAACACGCCGCAAACGATATTTTCATTGGAGTTTGGAGGTGTAAAGTCTGTCGCAGTCTATTTTTCTGCTGAAAATCGAGAAAATATTACATTTGTGGTATAGACTAAATTCTTAGTAGGTACTAAGCACCCTTCCTTTAACCATGCGTATAATTTATCGTAAATTTTGTATTCTATAAATATGTAAAATAAAAGAAAACCATAAGGCCAGCTTTCCATGTACGCGTTTCAGTCAGAATTCCGCGCTCGATTTTTGTATTTCCATGTGTACAGAAAAAATCGCTGAAAAGTTTGAGGAATCCCATTTAAATGACGTCATAAGTGGGAGTTCTCTTTACAGGATGGAGCGCAACATGGTTTACGTTCAGTCGCCGCCTGTTTATAATAACACCATGTTCAAAAACTCTTGCCATTTCCGAGCTGATTGATTTGGTGGACGAGAATCTGTGCGCCAAAACGTGAACATCCGCATGAGCACACTTCACGCGAGAAAAAAACGCCAGCAAAAAAGTCGCTCATTGAGCAACTTTTTTTTCCGCGCGCGTGTAACGCTTAAATGGAAACGGTCCAAGTTCATGTGCATTAGACCGACGTTTTTGCAGGCGGAAACACGTACATGGTAAGCGCGAGCTTTAATTCACTAAAAACGCGCAAGGCGATTAAAAACATACTATTTGGCTTGGAAGTTCAAAAATGTCTCGAATGTCGCTGTCCGGATCAAATGTAAGGAATAGCGCGTTGACCATTCATTCCAGAACACACCCAAAATCTCGTGAATCTATGTTTGGTAGACAGAGGGGAGAGAGAGAGAGAGAGAGAGAGAGAGAAATGGGGTTTAACGTCCACTCGACACAAACTAGGTCACTTTGGGACTAACACATGGTTTAATTTTATTTCAATAATTCGCTTGCGTGTAGGGGTCTTTAGCAGTGGGAGGAAACCGGAGGACCCGGAGAAAACCCACGAGGTTGGACAGGCGACCCTACTCCTTGCCACGTAAAACCGGGGATTCGAAACCACGCCAGTTGACTTAATGACAGATTTTATGGTAAAACGCGCACGTGCTAACCATTCAGCCACAGAGGTGT